ACTCCCCTGGTCTATAGCTTTTCTTTCTGGTCTGTAGCACTTTTCTTTCGGTCAAGGAAATCCCCCCTCCTACCACTGGGCCAAGCTGTCCTTTCTATAACAGAGTGCTCTAAGTTCTGACGGCTTTAATCACCTGCCCTGACCACCCAAGCCTTGTTGCCAATTTGCACTAATTCCATTCTCATTTTTTCCTTCTTCTTCTAGGCCATCTATTACCACTGTCCATATCCCGTCTCTACAGGGCCCTTTTGCCTGTGAGCCATGGCACCAATACATTTGTATTTCAACTGGGGACTGATACTGTTTCCGAAAAACTCTTACATTTCACAGCAGGAAAACATTGCCTAACCCCACAGACAGGTAATTCTTCAGCTCTGACTGAGTGGGAGCTCCTACAAGTCCTAAAGCTGAATAAAAAGGCAAGAAACACAATTATAAAGGAAAAATGATTCTAATGCTGATAAAAGAGAGTCTATGTAAAGGTCACTGAGCTGAAAAACAAAAATAAGTGCAACGATAATATTTGAGTGATGTGTCTTAGATGTTTTCCTTTAATTCATTTCTACAATGAATTTTATTACTCTTATAATAGGGAAATGACAAAATTTAAGATGTCATTGGGAAGAGATCACCCACAAGCTAACCACATACTCATTTAAAAGCAAAGTTTTGCTGCAGTTCTCTCTTGTGTTTTGTTGTAAAGAAAATTGTTCTCTTCGGTGATCCTGTAAGTGTCTCTTCTCAGTCTCATGTTTAAAATTTACCTTTGCTCTGCGTGCTACAGTCTTACGCTTCACATTTCTGTCTGTACTGGGGTCTTTATCTGTGACGCTACTTCCTATCTGTCTGTCTACCTACCTATCATCTATCTCCACAAGCACATCTTTAATAGGCACTGTTGCCACCCCACCCACGGGCTAGCACTGGGTTATCTAACTTTGAGCATCTCCTTCTCTTGCATGAGGGCTTTCTCTGGAGATAGGAGCCAAGGAACCTGCACATAGGACATCCGGGGAGTGACTGCGAATGGATGTGCATCTCCAGAAGCCCCAAGCATAACTGACAGGAACTGGTGGATAAATACCCCCAATGTCTTTGTCTCATGGGGAGTGGAGATACTTTTGAGATGTGTCTTCCATTTTCCCTAGAATGCACAGCAAAAGTGACCCCTTTGTTTCCCACAGTGTTAACCTGTGTGGTAATTCACCTTCTATTGGCTGTACCTTGCTGGCTACCTCTCTTCTCCACTCCCCTACCTAAGTTTCCAGAGATTGCTTCCTGAATACATAACTTGCATTCAAGTCCTTTGCTCAGGGTCTGTTTCTGGAGAAAATTTTAAATATTGAGATCTGTATGTATTTCCCATAGAACATGACTTTCGTGGTACAGCTGACTGAACCAAGTGTGAGCTCCAACTGTGGACAGACTATGGAAAGAACATCATCTCAGGTAGCAATACCAGAATATGGTTCAAGAGACTCAAAGTATATGTGCAATATTAGCTCTAGTTCTGGTTACATTATAAAAAGAATATTCAAGACCTGGAATATGAGCATGACCTCCTTCATGGTTAGAAACATAATAACAAAAATAGCAGTGAAAGAAACTGTATCCCTTTGGCTTACAGAATAAATCACACAAAAATGACAATCACTTTACTCAAGTAGCTGAAGGGAAGTTATGCACACAGTGAACTAAATTTGCTCAGACTTTTTGTAGAAGACAGAGCTCTGAGAAAAATAAATTAAAGTCAGTTTTCATCTCAAGATGAATTTTCTAACAATTCAGCCTTTCCTTATGAAATGCAAGACCCTAGTCCCTGTAAATACTTAAGCAGAGGGCTAAAATCAACACAGATTTATAAATGAAATGCTCTGTGCTTCTCACCAAAAGCTCATTTTAATCATGAGCATTTTGTCTCTTGAATTTCCTCAGCCATCCTTCGTTGTTTAAGTGTTTCTGGTTCTTGAAATTTCTTCATCCTGTGTTTGTGCTTCAGTTTTGTTCTCTGGCCTCCTTCATGTGTTGACAAGTGGTTTTGATCTCCCAGTCCCAGTATCCAGAGCTGTCTATCTTCTCCCCTGGCATAGTAATCTCAGGTAAGATGAACAGTAAGTAGCCCGGCTCCACCCATCAACAGTGGCTTCTTCCCTTTAGAAAATGAAATAGGGCCCAGGGGAATGAATCTTAATCGGGTGAGAGCTTATTTTGAATCAGTTTTAAATCTTCTTCTGACTCTAAGACTCTATAATTATTTTCTGTTTCAGTTTTTGTTATCCTCCTTCTTAAATTTCTTATCTTTGTTAACACGTCTTCTCCAAGCAACACCTTCTGAAAATTAGACCCATTTCTGGTGTATAGTGTTTTTTAGCTCAATTCCAAACCAAGTTGTTCCTTACTTTGAAGACATACATGTCTGTAAGCAAAGAACTCCAGGCCCTTGCTTTCCTGGTGAATAATTTACATAGCCTTCCTGGAGGATGATGTCCCAGTTTGTCTTACTATAGTTCTCTCACAGAGGATGCTGTCTTCTACACTTGGCTGAGCTCACTGAATGCTAAATATTGTCTCCTCTTCTGCAGCAAAGAGGGACCTGGCTGCAAAATAGGACACCTCTCCTTCAAACCAAAACGGGTGTTTGCTTTTCCAGATTAAAGCATGTGGTGTTCCAGCTGGCAGCATGAGGATTGGCAGGTGGACTCCATAAGGATCTTGGAATAACTCTTTAGGGGACTGAGCTAGCAAAACTGTGGTGTTGTAACACTCGCTTACTATTATTACTTTCCCAACAAACCTTTACTGAATATCTTCTCTGTCTTCAAGGCTCCGGCATTAGCAAGAAAAATGATCCTAAGCAAAAAGGACCCTACTTCTCCGTACTTCCTGTACCCTGGAGAGGAACATGAATTCACAGGCTCTGTACTGGCTGAGATTGGGGATGAAAACCTTGCTGGACCACTTACCAACTGAGAGACTTTGTGCAAGTTATTTCAGTTTTCCATGTAGCAGCCATCCTGGGATGATTAAATGAGAACGAACCTAACACAGTGTCAGCATAGAACAGGTTCATAACAATGCTTCTCTCATCCTTAATTACCTCTCAGGGTATTCTCTGTAGAATTATGGTGCAGTTATCCTTCCTGATTATGTGTTGTCTGGGGCCCAATTCCACCCTCCCCAGATGTCGTCCACACCATCCGAGAGAAGCTTCTGTAATCTCTCCAAGTGGAGGCATTTCTGACACACTATGATACTTGGGTTTTGGACTACACATCTCAAACGTTTGTCTTCTTTTTCTCTATCACTCTTCTTTATCTATCTTTTTTCCCTCTTGTTCTCACTTTTATGACTTATCTTCCTGAGATTCCAGGTTCCAGTTGCATGACTTTTTACTCTATTTTCTAGGTACATTAAAGAAACCACTGGTATTTCAACCCATTTATAGTAATTTTTTTAGCAGCGAGTCTTCTTCCTACTATCTAACACATCACAGTTTCATGGATGTAACCCTCATACCACCCTGATCTCTCTTTGACTCATACCTGCAAAATATCACACTTTGTAGGAATTTCATAGCAGAACATGTGAGTGTTGTCTTTTGGCGGAGCTCCACAGAAGTAGTCTCTGAATCTAGGAAAATTGCACTTGATGTGAACAGAAGAACCTCAACAAAATGGGAAGCCAGCTCCCTCTCAAATGTGAATTGCAGGCAGAAAAGCTTTTTAGGGCACAGGTGAAACAAAGGCAGAGTCATGAGATGGTTCTCCCTCCAGAGCTCCCCTGTAGATCTAGGAGGTTGTCAAGCCTTGCATACTCTGTCAAAAACATGAATGAACATGTCTGCCATGGCATTTAATCAAACTTTTCTCTACTTTGTCACCTACCTGTTTGGTAGACTTTGTGTGGTGCCCTCCAACTTCCACTTAGAAGCTGTGTCCTCACCAAAATTAAACCATTAGAATTAATTCTTACATGGTCTGTCTCTATTATAGTAAGACAAAGTTTAGAAAAGGACATACACATTTAATAAATAGAAAATATTTATTATACAGCATTACTGATTATTTGACAAAAGGCGGTAACAAGCCAAAGGAAAACACTTTTACAAGAAGCAGAACAACTTGTATGATCACGTACATTACGGTGAAGAGTTTCCATTTTGGTACAGAGTATGTATGCATACTTCTCCAGTTTTGAATGATTATGATATAAGAGCTAATACTCTAATTATTTAGTAAAAGTCATAATCATGACATTAGTAGGCATTCAGAGTAATATTGTAGTTAATGTTGAACATGTTCACCAAATGTCTCAGGCCAAAAACCTCAGAACAAACTAATATCTTATATCAGTTCAATCAAAATCATTTTTCTTATCTAATTTGACTTTTTAAAAATCAGAACGCACAAGTACTCAAATATTAAGGATATATATTAGTGGCTTTAATATTAAAAGACCATGTTTCACTAATATAGTATAATACTTATCCTCTCACCAGGATGCCAATTAGTAGAAATCCATCTGTTAAAGGAATGGAACTAACCATTTTTCTCATTTTGCATCAATACAATGAAAACATGGAACTGAAATCACATTTTAGTCATGATGTTTTTTCAGTAAAGATGTTTTAAAATAATTTTGTGAAGGAAAGACAATGTGTTCTTGATAGAACTGACTAAACTTGATGATAGAATATAGTAAAACATAAGAAAGAAGCTCCAAAGTTGGAGTTGAAGTTAAATTCTGAATAAATAATTCAGTCAATATTTAAACATTCTAAGATGATTTTGGTTGAGAAATCAACAGTATCATTGGCAGCATCAATATGAAGAAAGTATTTCAAAATATAATGAAACATAAGGCATACACAAAAAATTTTAAAGGACTAGGATTCATTCCACAAATAATAGAAGAAATGAACACCAAGAAAAAAAAATTTTATTGGGGATAATAAAAGAGCACAAAAATAGAATAATTGTATTACATGTACATGAATATTACACAGCAGCAAATGAAAGAATCATAAAGAAAAGTTATGATAGCAAAAATATATATATGAAAATAAAAATTAAAAGAAGGCAAAAATGTGATCAATGAGTAATACTTGAGAAATAATGACTAGACTTGGACATTGTATATTAAAGGAAGATAAAGTTCAATTAGCTATGGGAAATCTTTTAAAAAACTAAAATAACCTGAATAATCTAAATACTGTCTTTTCAGCCTTATGTTTTAACAATGATGTGTGCAAGTTTATGAAATGTACCTTTTGTCACCCACAGATTTTGTGACCTGTTATACAACAGATCTTCAAGCTGCTTCGTTAATAACATTCCCCACATCATCATAAAATATCTGAAAAATGCATCCCCTCTTAAAGGAAAAGTCATCATCTGAGCTGCATTTGAAAAACATTGGGTCATAGTACTCAAACCTTCACAGAACTTCTGCATATATGGGTGGCAATAATATATAAAACATTGGAACATAAAAATATCTATACTATAGCCAAAGGACAATCTTCCAGATGCAGTAGGTTGATGTTACACTGCAAGAGTTTTAAAGTCACATGGATACAAGGACACTGGAACACATTTATGCACTAGTTACAGCGACTCCAATGACAGTGGGAGTTACTTGTCATTTAAACCAGTAATAGTTGCTATGAGTACACCTTAGGTCAAAATGGATTTGATTCTGTAGTAATAGGAGAAAGAATGGCACCACATTGTACATATGCTGAATCTTAAGAGTCCAACTGGTTGGCTTTATTTGCTACAGTAAAGGGGAGGTAACACTTCGGCCACAGGGTTTGTTCTGTTTAATTGAAGGGCAAGAGCGAGTCCATTGGCCCAAGCACAGATGAATCCACAAACGTTTCTGTCACCATCAAAACAATCTGCTGTTCTTGACTTTTCCCCAAATCACCAAGAAGCAACATCAAGTGTCAGTCAGTGATTGTGCAGACTGCATTTTCCCAAAGCCCGTGCTTGGGTATAGTCCTACTTCTCTTCCATTCTTCCCATAGCACTCCCGATGTAGCGCTCCTTCGTGAGATTTTGCTTACTCCTCTTTTCCCAGAGAGGGAAATCCCGGAGCCTCGGGTGCAATAGCAAGGCTGGCACCGGATGACAGCAGAGGATGAGGAACGGCCCCTTAGGGTCGGTTCCTGAGTCTCCGGGATGGGACGTTAGGAACGCGCAGGCCCAGCAGGGAGAAGGGCTTCCCAGAAACAGCTGCTGGGCCCTGGCAGTCGGTTCCCCCACTGCCGTCCTGCCAGGCTCCAGGACCTCCCCAGGAACGCGGGGTTATAAACTGATGACCAGTGGGCACGTCCACGGGCGCTACCCCTTTCCAAGCATGGCCAAGTGTGAGCAGGTGGATATATGGATGCACGATTGTGCAAAAGAGATTATTTTTGTTGATTTTATTTATTTATGTATTTATTTTTGCGCTAAAAGTTACATACCATATGGAATTGTGCTTTGTCAGAATTCCCTTTCCTTCTAGAGAAGGCTTTTGAATAATTCAAGAATCAGCATCCTGGCCTGGATCACTGCTTGGGATCTTCCCTCTTTCCTTCCCTAAGGCAGCAGCAGCTCGCTCCCACTCTCCCGCCCTGCTCCTCCCTCCTCTCCCAACTTCTCCTCCCGGCTTTCTGCAATCTGGGAGGGGTGAGCTGTCTGGCTTATCTTGCTTCCCCGGGAGGGCCCCTCCTCCTTACAGGGTGGACGAGCTCTGCTTGTAGTCCCTCAGGATGACAGAGGCGTAGGTCCCGCTGGGAGGGGTGCACAGCACCGACTCCGACACGGGCGAGCTGGGCACCGAGCTGCCGGAGGCCACGGAGTCTCGGAAAGGTGACGGGGGCGTCAGGGCCGGAGAGTCCTCCGGGGTCAGCCTGCTGGCCGCCTGCGGGTCCTCCTCCTCTTCCAGCTCGTCCTCCTCCGTGTCCCCTTCCCGCGCGTGCTCGTACACGTACTCCTGCAGCAGCTTGAAATTCTCGCTGTGGTCGTCGTCCGCTGGGGGGGAGGCTGGGTCCTCCCCGAAGGTGCTTAGCTGCAGGGGCAGCATCTGCAGGTGCTGCGGGGGGGGCGGGGGCGGGAACAGTGCGCAGCCCGTTCCCCTGCGCCTCGGGTCCGGCCAGCACCGCGTGCAAGTCCGGGATCCCCGCGCCGCCGAAGCTGCCCCCCACTCCCTGAAGCTGGTCCGTCAGGAATTTCTGTTGGGGCGGCTGCTGCTGGGGGGACTGCTGCAGGGGAGGGGGCAAGCCCTTGGGGACGACCGGGTCGGCCAGGAAGAGGGGCGTCTCCTCTGTGGTCAGGTGCAGGGGCGGCACGCGTCGGTGCACCGCCATGGAAGGGCTGCTGGGAGGGCTGAAGCCAACCGGCTGGGCGTCCTCCTCCTCCTCCACGTTGTAAAGGGTCTTGGTGCTGGTATCTGAAAAGGTCAGGCTCTTGCCGGAGCCTTGGTAACTTTTAGTGAGGGGCTTGATGACGGCCGTTTGGTTGCAGGCCGTCTCATTGGTCTTCACGTGCACAGAGAGGCGGTGCCACATGTGCTGTCCCTTGGGCACCTGTCTTCCACCTGGTTCAGACCATGACACAGACTTGCCATTAGAACTATGAATAAAATAGAGATGGGTTTATTGGCAGATAGCATGCAGGAAGGATGAAATATATAAATACCAACCCCACACGAACCCTGCGCAATGCAGGGCTCTACCCTAAACCCTCCTTCCACACCCACCAGGCTGTCCTTACTACAAATCAGACAACCAAACTGCAGGCCCTGGAGGCTGCCTGTGAAGCTGCTGCCAGGGAGTGCCCCCCCCCCAGAAGGAGCCGTTGGAAAGAAAAGCCTGTCTGTTGCAGAAAGAGCTATTTTAGCAGATTTTAAAGTCACCCCTCCAACTCACCCCACACATACACTCTAAGGAAATAACTTTTTTTTTTCAAATGAAAGCTTGTGTATGGTTCCTCAACTGGAGGAAGGAAATTAAAGAAAAAAAACCTGTTACATATCAATAACAGCATAGCGACTTTCATCTTTGGGAAAATCAAGACCCCCATATTAAGCTTCTGTCACTTTCTGAGGGACTGCAAAGTAGGCCCTCTCAGCTGCCCATTCTGATAAATGAGTATTCCTGACCACACACGCGGCACCTGGACGAAACAGGAAAAAGCAGATGACGGGAAAACCCACACCCACGATCTAAGGGGTTTCATAACCTTCCATTTTCTTTATCTCAAAATATCATGACACATACAATGGATCGCAATTCACATAAGACCCTGATTCGTGGTTTCAGATTTTCACCCTGGGAATATTCAGGGAGGTGTGTTTGACACAGAGTGGGGAAACCCAGCAAAATATTAATGCTCACATGGTGCTTTAGTCCTTCAACAGATTCTGATACGAATGAGAGACAAATGAAGATTTAGGAAAAGCAGCAGTCGCTGAGACAGAGGCCTCTGTCTGGACCATTTCCCCCTAACCTCGGTACAGAACAATCCTGGGGCCCAGGAGTCTCCTTGCCTTTACCAGATTTCAACTTCATGCACCCTCATAAAACCAATCAAATGGAATGTCTCTCTGAGGAAGGAAAACAATGAAATGTACTGTAAACATATACCACAGACTCTGTTCTGTAAATTGTAAGAATTCTGGGCTTGCTTTTGGACCTTGCTTATTTTTTGTATAACTTTTAGCAGATGGTGGTACCTCACCAACACATTCTAATAATAACAACAGTGTTAATACTTAAAAATAAGTCACTTCTTCTATTTTTTTCAGTTTGCTTTTCTCCTGCATATCCATTAAAGTAACAGAGAAAGCCACACAATAAGAACATTTATGACATTTAAAGAAATAGGAAAATGAACATTTTTTTCCTTATGTGAAGGTGTAAAATAGACTATTCTACATCAAGTATTTTGTTTATAAAAAAGTAGCAAATGATGAATTGTTAGCATAATGGTTATTTAATCATTTTAAATAAACAAGACTAAAAGCTTCAAAAATTATATGACTGCCATATTAATGATGATATTAATAATTTGACACTTCATGTTTTGTAATATTGAAAAGTAAAGTGAGCCAAATAAGTACAGATTAGTGTAGAAAATCTGATATGCAGTCTGGAAAAACCTGGATGTAGGGATCTGAAATACATATAACATATAAAATTTTGACCTTATTATTTGGAAAGAAGGTTATTCTTCAACTTATCTGATAATTCAAGCTATAGTTTTAATTCTCTAAGTAAAAAAATCTCATCTCTAAACTAATACATCAAAAATAATGTTTCACATATATGTTTCATACACTATTTGGTAATCTATAAATGCTTACAAATTCTAAATTTTTAAATTATGGGCTTCCATGCTATCTTATTAGTATAGTCTCTTCTGAGTTGAACTACATAAAGAATAAGGCAGTAGTGTCCCTGGAAAGAAAATAATCACCTCTCCAGCCGAAAACCAAATCAGAATCCACAGCTCTTTCTCTGGGTTTAAAACTGCGGTAAGCAAACCTCCCAGGTCTGTTTTTCCGAGTTGTCAGCACCCACCACTCAATATACATTTCCTTGTGCATTCAGCATGCCTCTTGCAAAAATTATAAAACCTTCGGTTTATCGTTACCTCCTTCACATAAGCCTCACTAACCCTTCCAACTCACTGCTTTACATCAATTTCAATTGTAGTTGTAAAGCCTTTCTCTTTCCCAAGGCCCACCCCTTCATATTCATTAATAAAATCATTAAACTAAGATGCCGGCATGTGCCTCCACTTAATTTTTTGTGTGTATTTAAAAGGAGTATCCCGAGGGCTACTTTTCACCTACCTTAGAAACCCCAAGCAGGCTTAGAAGCCTTGATAACACATTTTCCAGTACCCTCTTCTTCAAGGAAAATGTCTCCCTGTATTCCTGAGAAGCCTTCAGGTGACTCCCCTAACTGTACTCAATCACATAGCTGTCTTCCTCAACATCCAGGGGTCCATTAAGGCCCTGTTTCTATGTTATACATGTCCATATAGTGACCATATTAATAATGATCTTGCAGGTAGATATAATCGCTATTTAGTTCTGTTTTCATTGAACCCAGTTTTTATTTTTTGTAATGAAGGATTTTCACGCTAGCTGTCAAAATTAGTAGCTTTCCTGGCCCTCAGAGTCTCACTCTAGATTTGCTGTAAAGTTCGGTTTAATTAGGAAACAGATCTCATCACCAGGGCATTTATCAGATTACAAAAATTAGACTAACATTTTTTTGAGGGACAAAATAAATTGTTCCTTGAAAATCAGAAACTATAAAGAACAATGTATCATCTCGCAGAAATTGCAGCACAAAGTAGAAGCTTTGGTCTTCCAGGATTTCTTACCTGTGGGCACAGACACCCTGAATGGGCCACGAATTTATGCCTTCAGCATTGTTTTTAGATCGAATAAAGGTTACTTCTTTGTTCCTGTTTGTCCATGTGCTACTGGGATTGATCCCAGGACCTTCACATTGAGCTATATCCCCAGCTCCTTTCTTACTTTCATTTTGAGACTGGGTCTTGCTATGTCCCTAAATTACTCAGGCTGGGCTCAAATTGCTAATGCTCTTGCCCAGCCTCCCAGAGTGATATATAGGGACATATAGGAATACAGGGGTGTTCCATTATGCCCAATTTATTTTTAAATGCCTGTGAATGCTGTTTTGATAAAGTAGACTGTGAGATACAAATATAAATAAATCCTGACTACCTTTCATTGTTTTCTGTATTTAAATGATCACAAATAAAGTTAAGTACTATCATTAGTTCAAATAAAGGCTTAATAACTATTTTGATGTGAAATCGGAGCATTCTATTTGAGAAGGCCATGATGCTAAGAAGAGAAAACTATGAGGCAGAAGTATATAAGTTATGGTCATCATAAAAGAATATATTTATAAAAATTCAATAGTACTATGAAATATTACTTTTATTTAACTCCAGGTAACTTTAATATCTCCTGCTTCAGTACAAACTTCAGTCTGTCACTTAATTTTACTTGATTTCTTAATGTTGAGTAAAGCATCTGGTTTAGAACAGACCACATAATTGTTACAAAACATCCTATCCTTGTTATTTTACTTCAAAAGACAGACCCAAAATAACCTCCTACTTGAAGATCAAATGAAGCATATTTGGGGCAAATATCTCTGGTGGCTAAATAAATGTATTGGTATCAAAGTATGGGAGGGAATGGCCAGTAGGCCTACAGGAAGTGGGGATGTGTAGGATTACACATCATTATCTCATGCAGAATTAAGCAGCCCAGGAAGAGCAGTTCCAATTACAAACAGGGTCAGGATCTTGCTTTGATTTTTGTTTCATTAGATAAGCACCACAATCCCCCTGAACACAAAATTCAATATTTATCCCACTTTAGAGAATAGTTGGGAGTGGATGGTGTAAACAGATGAGTGTATCTGGCGTTCTGAGCAATACTGTCTGTTTTATTTGTTTGAGTAAGCACTAGTTACATCTGCAGAGTATGCTCTGCTCTCTGCTCCAGAGAGTTCTAAAAGGGAAATAACAGTGGGTGGGTGCTTGCTCTCAGGAGGGAAGCATCACGTGCACGGAAGCTCCTGAAGAGGAAGGCTTACACATCACCTGTGTTCCGCGCGTCCCATAAGCACACCTGTGTATGCTGCTGGGCCTCTAGTGTCACAACAGAGATAAGAGCTCAGCTCACAGAAAGCTCACAGGCAGGCACGAACGGGCCATGAAGAAGGGAGACTCATTCCTTTGAACAGGAGGATATAACATTTATTTCCTTGGAAATCACATGGAAATGGAAACAGGAATTGCCATTGAGCTCCATTACGGAGAGAATGGGTTGCCCCCCCAAAAGAACCCATAACCCCCTGCTACATTAGTTCCCACAGCTGCAGCTGGGTGTGGTGCCACCTAGAGCTGAGACTGGCCCAAAGGGATTCTGGAGTTGGGGCCATCCACACGCTCCCCACTGTGTGTCAGCCAGCTGGCCCCAGAGTTGGTTCCTGGAGACTCTCAGCTATAGGACTTACTTGAAACCATTTGAGTAACACTTGTGTTTTTGCTGGCAACCCCAAGGTGATCATCTATCTGAAGGACTCCATTGACTCCATATCCACTTCATGAAAATTCTCCAGAAAAATCTACTTATTCACTATGTATTCTCCAACCTATGCACCTCTCTGAACAATTTCCTGCCTTTTGAGTCACTATTTGTTGTGAGGTAGAGAGTCTCTGAACATATTTTTGAAGAGAAATGCTTTTTTATTATATGAGAACTTGGTGGTTTCTGTTCCTATTAAATTATAAATAGCATTATGAATTTTATCCCTTTCCCCTCTAATTCTAACTTCATCACAAGCAATTTAGAGAACTTTTGGCTTGCCGAAATTTATAATATCACATCTAAATCTTGAAATCAATTTCATCACATATCCTCAATCTATATAATACAGGATGCACCAAAGACAGCACAAAAACTCACTGCTTTCATTAAACCCAGTGCTTTCTTTAATGAGGCAGTAAAGGCACCCACAGGTTAAATATCTCATCAGGACTTGTGAAGCATCTAAGTCCCCTCTATTTTTTTCTGA